CAGAAAACCCAACGGGAATGCTTTCTGAACCACGTCATGCAGAAAAATACCCAGCATTCCATATCTCTGGCATTGGGCCGAAACCTCAAGTCCCAATTTGGAAAATTTCATATTTTTTTCAAAAATCCATACTATTGGTCAATCCAAACGTGTGGGTGTTATTTTACTAATTATGGTGCAAGCTAAAGTGGTGAAAATCACTTACGATGTTGATGGTTGAATTAACATGCTGTTTTTGGGGTCCCCAAAAAGTGACCATTTTGAAGGTACCGGGATTCGACCTGACACCAGCGACATGGAAACAAACTCAACTTGGAACATTCTTACGCACAAGATCCATTTCCTAAGTGAAAACCTTGTTCGTTGCAACTGCAACTACAACATTTACTTACTATTTTTCTCTAGCTCAAATATTACTCTATCACCGCATCTCCCACTTTTGATGACTGACTTGATGAGGTAACCTGCATTAAATGGGTTAACATTAAACCATGAGAGAGTCACTTTGCATTTAATTTGGTGCAGCACTGAAAGTGCTTCAAGATGAGCAGCAATCTAAAATTTATGAAGGCGCTGAACATTTGCCATGTAGAAATTGTGCAGGGTTTTAGCACAGGAGTCTTCCAGGATTACAATAAAATGGAATAAAGTAAGTCTTCATTTGTCCCATAATGGGGAAATTCCAGTAGGTATAGTCAGATGAAATGAATCTCAAAAACAAGCCATCCACAAAGTCTGTTCATGTATGGCTTGTTTATAACAGCCCTCCAATATGGCCGCCGGTAGTGCATTGTGGGTAATTGCTAAAAGGACAGCGCTCCTCTATACAAGGTTTGACAGAAAACAATCGGAACGTCTTTGACGTGCTGGCGCCAGTGTTGGCCGTGTCCGACCCTGTTCGTGCAAGTCAAAGAAGGACGGGCGACGGCACATCACGGGTCCGTTAACGTTGACACATGATCAGAATTTTAGGAGACCACCCCCTACCACCCCCCGACATGGTACGACTTTAATTTTGGAAGACGACATCTTTTTGTCTCAGAGTAGAAATGAGTTTTGGTCATTAGATGTTTTTTTTCTTTCGCCGAACTCACAGCTCCAGGATGAGGATGACGTCGGCCTTGTTCTCGAAGACCTCGTGCAGCGCGATGATGTTGGGGTGGCGGATCTCCTTGAGGATGTCGACCTCGCGCTCGATGTCCTCCCGCGTCACGCCGCGCCGGCTGGATTTGCTGCGCCGCTTCTTGATGAACTTGGCGGCGTACTCGGCGCCCGTGCTCCGCCGACGACACCGCCGGACCACCGCAAACTGGCCGCTGCCGACGAGGCCAGACAAGAAATGATAGAGAGATAGATACCGAAATATACATACATACACACACACAGAATACGTCATGCATGATAAAACTGAACGCTCGGGGTTAAGAACGGACATGGCCATTTGCTCCTGCTAGCCTCGATGCTCGTCGCCACTAAGGCGGCGCTGGGGCAACCGCCGCAGGTCAGGCAGGCAACAAATGTCCTTTTCGAGACAAGACGCTACGGTACATGTGCGGCAACCGCGAGAGCGTGCGGCTTCATCGGCGATGTGCTCGCTTAGCATCGGAGGGACAAACTGTGCCCGAGGCAAAATCTGGATGGTTTCTGCAGGGATGGGGCCATCGGAGGTTTTTCCTCCTCGTATTGACAGAAGCGATCAGCATTGGGCCGAGGACATCGGGTACGAATGAAGGCTGACGAAAGCAGTCAGCGATACTTCAAGGCAAAGAAAAGCCGGGCCTAAACGGGAGCAGTTGGGACGCTCTTCTGGCGACCGGTCGTGCGCGTCGGACGGCGACGGCAAATCCAGCTATTGGCTCACAATTCTCAGTCACTCCGTTCGTGGAAAGGTCATCGATGCAAAGCGCTTGTGCTTAGCGCGACTTTGTGTTGTCGAGTCCTCGAGAGTGACTACGCGCACCGAGTGCGTCAAGCGGCTTGGAGTTGCCCGAGTTGAAACGATGGCCGAAGGCAACCGGTTGCCGAGGGAATGCCCACGCTTGACTGCCAAACTCAGCCTGTGACATCACCGGTCCCGCGACACGCCCGAACCCGAGCCCGAGCCCGCCGGCACCCGCTGTCTTTGCCGCCACTCCTCCCTCGTCTGGTCTCGTCTGGTCTCTGTGGGCGCTTCAAGTGGCGACAAAGGCAGCGAGGACATTTGATCTGGCTTCCCGCTACCTGGCCTCTTGGAAAAAAAGAAGAAAAAAAAAAAAAGAAAAGCAGCCTCCCTGCCCGCCCGCCCGCCGCCGCTGTTTGTTGTCCATCTTCCCTTCCCTCGCTATTTTTCCCCTACAGCAACGTGTCCATCGCAAGTACAGAGGGATTCCCCGGCTTGCAAATGAACCTTGCGGACCGACGGGATGGCCGAAATACCGGACGACGGCTATTTGCTCAACATGCGAAAACTGCTTTTGTGAAGCGGGCAACTTCGCGAGACGCCATCTCAACATATCAAATATTCATGTGGCCAAAAATAAAGCCAAGGGGAGCATCCCGGAAGGCCGGCTGGCTGGCTGGCGGCGCTTGGCCGGAGCAGACGAAGGCCGGACGAGACAAGGAGCCCGCCGAGGCTCCACGTGCACGATGACCGAGCGGCATCGGAAAACGCCGGCCCGCGCCATATTGCGCAATGCTACGCAGCAAACGGACACAAGGATTCGTGCGGCCAAATGCCGATCCTCCGATTGTTTTTGGCCGTTAATGGTGTGACATCGTCTCATCCCTTCGCATGAAAAAGTCACCATTTTAGTCATTTGACCTGAAAAAATTGCAGCGGCAAATTGGGAGTTATTTTCTTGATGACAGATGGTTCTCAATGACATTTTGAACTCACGATCAGAGTACCGATAAAAACTCACACCAAAAAATAGCACCGCGCGGCCCATCTCGATGTAAGATCTAACCTCCAAGCTGACACCGAAAGAAAAGCAAAGCGCTCGCGTTCTCTCTCGGCTCGGCCTCGGTCGGCGTCGTTCTCGCCGGCCCCCCCTTTGCCGTCTCGGAACTCACCGACGTTGGCGCCGCGGCCGCCGCGTGCGACTAGCGGCCGGAAAGCGGCGCGGGAGGCCGGCGCCGCGAGATGGCGACCGTCGCGCCGTTGTGTACCGGAGGAAAGGGTAACCATGGCGACGGGAGCGAGAAGAGGAACCGCCCGCCGGCCGCTCGGAGGAAGGAAGAGGCCGACGGATTAGCGACGAGGCGTCGATAAAAACGACGCGGCCGTCGGATCTCAGGAGGCTTTTCTCCCCGGCCGGCGACTGGCAGCGGGAGGTCGCTCGCTCGCTCCCGACAGGCGGCTCGCTCTTTTACGTGCGGTGGCGAGGGCGCGCCGCCCAAAATGCAACCGCCGCTCGCATCGCTGGCGACTGAGTGCGCTCCATCTGTGGAACGGAAGCTTCACATCAAAATGGCAGACAGCAAGCGTCCACGCCGGCTTTGCTTTCGTCTCAAGTGGCTTTGTAACAAGCAGCCCATCGCTTTTGAACAAAGCCGCCTTCCTCGGGCGTCCTTTCAAAATCGCTCCTGCGCGTCCGCCGTCACATTTGTCTCATCGAGCGAAATCTCATGGATGGGAAACATTTGTCGAAACACCCACTGGTGTTTCTCCATGCGCACTTTCAAGTGAACAACGTTGATCATCGAAACATGAAAAGCAGTTGGTCTTTCATTTTTCAGTGGATATGCGGTGGTGGGTTTGTTTTTTGTGTCTTGAGGGGAAATGTCAATCGATGATGGAATGGCACGACTTTACAGTGGACAACTTTATGTGTCATACAGATTGACTTTTTTTTTCCGATCGGATGCTCGTTTTACTGAGCAAATGTGTGACTTCAAAGGCCCCTAAGATATGCGGTTGCATTCTCAACGGGACAAGCAAAGGAGGCGCCGCTTCAGATTTCACACATTTGGTTGACCGAGTATCACGACGACAACGTGATTATTCTGCCGCCAATTGCGGGAACTGCGAGATTGACGTGAAGAGGCGGAAAGGAGGAGGCGATGGCGGCAAGTGAGAAAGTGGCAAGGGGGGGTTCAGGGGGCGCCAGCTGCTCCGTTGATCCACCTCTCATCTGCGGTCTTATAAAAATCACATTTGGCTAGCAAAGTCAGCTCGGTGGCTCTCACACATGCACAGAATGACACCATGTGACACGCTTGTCAATCAGTAGGAAGAAAAAAAAACAACAACAACAATCAATCAGCCCAACACCGGCCAGCTTCAGCAAGTAAACATGAAACTGGGTGAACATGTCCATCAGTGGACATCCCAAAAAGTTTGCAAAAGTCAGACATTTTGCCTTGAATCAGACATTTTTCAATCAGCAGCCGAAAGCTCGAGAAAAAAAAAAAAATCGTCTCCAGCACACAACGTTCAAAGTGAACAGTAAGTCGGCCATTTTGGCTGGATCCGGCCATTTTGGCCACGTTTCAGAGCTGACATTTGGCCGATTCCAATTCGGGGAATTTGCTGAAAGGAGCTCCGGTGGCGAGCAGGAAACCTTGAGCCATGTGCTAAGGTGTTGTCGGAGTCTTTGTTTTTCACTTGTTTTTTTTGTTTCTTCAACACACTCGTGAGAACGAGGCTGTCATAATCTGATGAGAATAAAGTGGAATACCGTACAATACAATACATGGTCTTTTTCGCCGGCTGCTCTTTGGGGTTGGGCACTAAGTAGTTCATAATGGGGGAGGGGGGTGTGAGTGACGAGTCTGCCGTGCAGACTCGGCCCCTCCACCCAGTCGTGCCGACCCGGGTGAAAGGGCCTTAAATGTAGGTCAGTGGGTGCATGCCATCCGTCACTTCTGCCGCTTCCACGGCATTTCTTCATGATACTCGATAGCCACATTCAGCTCCACGTACGAGGACGCTCTTCATGGTCACGTGCAAGACCACATTCAGCTCACTTGCGCAACAACTGTGTCTTCTCTGGTGCACAATTAAACGCAAATGAAATGACGAGGAAACTACTCGTAACGTGAGTGGGATTATGTCACAGACTAGGATCTTCCGGGATGCTACGAGCAGTCTCAAAATGCTCACCAAATGTTTTTCCTTTCTAGTGAAATGTAGTTGTCCTATGAGTTTACCCAAGTTGTCTTACTAGGTTGCAGAAAAGTCATGAAGTTGGTGGGGAGGGCGAACAATGAAGATACAATTGCCCTACTAGCGCAATGAAGAGGGCTCAACCAATTAATCAGCCGACCGATTTAACTGGCCGACACAAGCTTTTTTTTTTTTTTTTAATCGAGAGATTTTTTGTGGATTTCATTTAAAGTCGTTGAATAAATACTGAGTTTCAAATGGAATCAATTATTGTTCACTCAGCATGATTTCAATATCATTCCAAATAATTGCGATTGTTATTTTTCCCAGAATTGCCCAGCCTTCGTGTATTATCCTGCCCCCTTGTGGCCAGGGCGTGCACACCAAAAGGAGCAGCACAATGCCCAGTGATTATTATGGTGTACAAACTTTAGGTTTTTTAACATTTTATTCAATTGTGTGATGACAGGATGTTTTTTATACAACAATGCAAAATATTTTCTCACTATAAAACACCTTGCGCACGTTTTTATTGGTGGTTTTTTTGGTTGCTATGATTGGCATTTCAATCCATTTCAATGAAGAAAGTCAGAGCAGCGCAGTCCACATCATTATTTCATATATTTTGCATGTCCCGAGACAAGGGGCAACAGGTGCAGAGATGATTTTGAAGTCAAAAGTGCGACTCACCTGCCCAGTTCGTCCCCGATCTCATAAAGGTCTTCGACATTCTCCTGCTTGAAAACGGTCATGTTGTGTCTGCACTTGGAGGAGTGCCGTCTATTTCCTGGAGAAGGCGGGAGTGGACGGGGCGGGGGAGCTCGTCACAGCTGCAGCCCGCTCGGGGCACGTTCGTCGCCGGCTACCCTTCTCCCCATTGTCGGGCCTGGATCGGAGACACCGGTGGAAGAGTGGAAATCAAATGGAGAGCATCTGTCAAGATTGTCACGACTCCTAGATTTGAGAAAAAAAAAATGGTGGGTATGTCACACTCCTACATTACTGGGGGTGGGAGGGCGTTCGTGTGTCGGGTTTGTCGCTGCGTGCGTGGTAATAAATGAATTGCCCCCGAAAACGGCGACACATGAGCGGCTACTGGCGCGCAGCCCGCTCCTCTTCAGTGCGGTAGCTATAGGAGACCCGAGGTGCGGCGAACCCCCCACCCCCACCCCCCTGCTTTCTTCCAGCCACGAGCTGAAGGCACTGTCGGGAAATAACGTTCCGAAAGACACTCAGGTAACCTCCATTTTCCGATTGAATTTAACCCCAAAATGGACGAGCGTCGCTCTCGGTTGGCTGAACTCGAAGCTATCAGGTGCACTTCGAGAAAGAAGAAGCGAGCGGTGGTGAGAGGGAGGGGCGGAATGTCTTACCCCGGTAAACCGAGTCCAGGCGAGGCTTCGTGGGGTTTCAGCTTGGAGCGTGTGCCGCCGCCTCCGCCGCTCGCTCGCTCGGTCGTCGGCTCACGGAGCCGGAGGACGATAAAACGTCGCCGCGGGAGGAAATCGACGTCCACAACGCAAGAAGACAGTCGGCGGCCGGTGCCGCGTTCAAGTACCGTTGGGGAAATTGACAATCCCATCCACGCGAGACTTCGCTTCAAAAAACAAAAAACACTTACAGTAATTTACATTTGACATGAAAATATCTTTATTGACCAGTGTTACTGTATGTCCACGCATACACACACCGCAAATTGTTTCGGTCAGGACCAAAACGATGATTTCACTGGGAAAGTGGCGCATCAACGAGTTTTGGGTGGAAAGCGAAGGCACCATCGGTCAGTCTCCAACGACTCACAGACAACAGGAAGACAATACACCCACCGGACACTTCATTCGTTATCCTTGACACAGCCCCAACAAGCGTTGTACTTTTATTTTGGGATGATTTTATATGATGATCCTTCCTCATGTCACTAGTTTACATTTGCTGCTTTCGTACTAATGAGGTGTGCATTAGCTTTGGGTTGGAAGGGTGATAGCACCACGTGCCCTTCCAGTCTCAGTTCACTTTATGAAGGCGACAAAATATCGCAAATATAATATAAAAGATCCACCAGCTTTTATTTTTCTTAATTTATTATTATATTGCAACTCTTGGTATAAAAACATACAAAAGATATTTTTCAAAAATCCCTCATAGTCCACAATAATGCACATAAAATGATCAAACATTGTCATGATAGGCACAGATAAATACAAGTGGTATAAAATCACTATTTCATGAGTCTCGCATACTTGATTGTGCAATATAGCTGTGAGGAATATGTTGTAGCCAAGCACACGCGTGTTTTTATTGTTCCTTCATGCTGATATTCCAGGCAAAGCGAGAAGGGACGATAAGTCGTGTCGATTCATCATTTCAATGAGCATTGGAGGCAAAATGGAGCAGTGCGCTACATAGATGGAGCCGCATGAGGCGCTGCTGAGGAACCGTTGACTAGTTTGTTGACAAAGAAGAAATTCCCTTTTTTTTTTCTCCCCCCTCATATGTCAATGTCTTCCTTTTGGTAAAATTACAAATTTTCTTGAAATATTTACTTTTTGTAAATGTCAAATTTTTGTTCAAATAAAATTCAGACATTTTGTTGTTGTAAAATCCCGACTTCATTCTGGTGAAATTTAAAGATATTTCTTGGAAAGTTACAACTTTTTTTGTGATATTATCACATTGGTATAAAATACCAATTCAATCGATTATTCTATATTTTCAAAAGCAGTTATTTCAAGTGGTCACTTCAGCTACAAATCCTGAAACTCTGATAGTTATCCGTGGTAAAATACCCTTTTTCCTGATGACAAAAAAAAAAAAAAAAAAAAGAATTTCAACCATTAATCATCGGATGAGATAGGCGCCATGACGACGATAGGTTGTAAAATGTAAAATATCTAAAACCAAACATGTGCGGTCAAAATTACAATCACATAACCACAAAGTCCTCCACTTAGTTTTGGTGGGTCTTTTTCACTTGAAACTTACAAAAATAGATGTAGAAAAGTACAAAATGCTTTTAAGGCAACGTGGCTTTGTTTGTCATCTGTGATGGGCAGGGCTGGAGAACCTTTTCAGTGTCATTAGATTTAGTAGGCATGTCAATCATGAATAGTCCCATGAAAAAGTCGCAAAAAATATGTGCGAAAAGATGAAGTCTGCCGTTTTGGTCTGATGCGGCCATTTTAGGATCTTTTAGACCATCTCCAGCTTGCCGGACCTGAATTTTGTCCAAATATACTCCAATAAAGCCGGTTTCACATCCATCCATCCATTTTCCGATCCGCTTGCCCTCACAGGGGTAGCGGGGGGTGCTGGAGCCTATCCCAGCCGTCTTCGGGCAGTAGGCGGGGGACACCCTGAACCGGTTGCCAGCCCATCGCAGGGCACACAGAGACAAACAACCATCCACGCTCACACTCACACCGAGGGACAATTTAGCGAGTGTTCAATCAGCCTGCCATGCATGTTTTTGGAATGTGGGAGGAAACCGGAGTACCCGGAGAAAACCCACGCATTTGCACTCCCAGGGTTAAAAAAAAACCCAAAACAAAAGTTTGTAAACTTGAAGACACGTGGTCCTCTTGTGATATTCCTGCTACCTTTCCCACAACAAAGCAGACTCCTTCGATCCAAACGTCTTATCGTGGGGGCTCCTCACGAGCGTCGTCGCTAACGGTCCTGTACATTTGCAGCGAGGTCACCTCCACCTCCTGGGCCTTGACGTACTGGGCGCGCCCCGCCGGGCTGTACCCGGCCGAGCGGCCCAAGGGGCTGAAGCCGGAGGCGGCGCGCCCCGCGTGGGCTAAAGCCGAGGGGCGGGGCGGGGCGCGGCCCCCGTCGAAATGAGGGTCGGACCGTTGCACTCCACTCGGGTGCTAATCGGTCACGTGATGACAACATTTCCTTCTTTCGGTGAGACACATTTTCGGATTCGCTTTTCTCTTTCTTCTTCCTCTACTCTGTTGTCTCTGTGCCAGGCTTAGAATAGTTTGGGCGTCTTCATCAGCGTTAGTTTTCACTGCGCTGTTTTGATTCGTTTTCAGAGCAAGCTTGTTTGTATCCCCCTCAAGCTTTATTTTAGTTTAGCTGTTTTTATTTCGTTGTTGATAAATGTGGTTTTAATTTTGCTTCGTTTTCAGAGTGAGTTTGTTTGTTCATTTTAGTTGCGTTTTTATTCGTTTTTCCCAATCTTGTGTATTTCTTGTTTTGTTGTTGAAATGTATTTCGTTTTCAGAGCTACTGTGTTCATTTTTTCCCCCCCAACAAAAATGTTTCATTGTAGTTGAACTGTAGTTTATTAGTTTTAGTTGGGGTTTTTTTTCCAATCTTGTGTATTTGTTGAGTGCAAGATTAAAAACAAAAATAATAATAATGACCTAAGTGTGGTGTTGTGTCAACTCAAAACATACGTATTTGCAAACCAAATGCTGACAAAAGCCTAAAACGGCTGCCGGCCGTGTGTTCTTTTGAGACTTTTGTGCGTGTCACGAAAGACAAGCCGAACAAGTTTGGCACCTTTTCAAACCAAACGCATAACCGGACCTAAATTCAGCCTAGCAGCAAATGGAAGCGCCTGGTTGCCAACATAGTTTTTGGTGTCAACCGATCCCACGCTACCTTTCTCTTTGTCCTCGGTCAAATCCATTGAAGCGTCGATCCGTTTTTACCTTGTCATTGATGGTGGGGCGGAGCAGGATCAACAGGAAGCGATAGGAGACGACAGGAAGGATGCACAAAATGGAGGTGAGCCCAATGGTCAACCAGATGTTGGGCTGACTCAGCGTGTTCCTCGCGGTGCCTGAACAGATTGGACACCAACATGCCAGGTTCAAGTTGACTATCAGGAAATATTGGATGAATTTCACCCAAAGTTCGCCCTATGACCTTCCTCCTGTCTTCTTATTGGCTGAATTAGGCCGAAGGGGTGAGCGTTTCTTCCTCTTCCAATTTTTGCTCATAGTCAACATTGCATTTGACACATCAGCATGAGATACATGTCAGTGTTTTTTTTTTTCCTGATTATACGTCCAGACGGACGCAGCGGGAAACCGTCGTCGGAGGCGGCAAGCTTTGTCGGCATACCTATGAAGGGGAAGGCCGAGGGCAGCACGAGGAACAGGCCGTTGCTGTACATGGTGAAGGTGACGGCGAAGTACATGACCAGGCTGCCCACCACAAAGAGGCCGTTCACCGCCGTCCAGTAGGACATCTCCAAGCCCAGCTGCACACAGGCACGCACGCGCGCGCGCAAGTCACGAGGGCCGTCCACTTAACGAAAGTTGGGGACGGTACCTGGAGGGTGACGGCGAAGAGCAGGCAGGTCTGCGTGAGGACGGCGAAGGACTGGTAGTCGGCCACATCCCGGCCGTCGGCGCGGGCCGCCTGGCCGACGGCGGCGTACGGGATGAAGAAGAGCACCAGGGAGCTGTAGCAGCTGTGCAAGGCGCACTTGAAGAAGGCCATCTTGCTGAAGTACAGGTTGAGCTGGCCCGGCACGTACAGCTGAGGGTGCTGGAAGCTCCACGCGTCGTTCACGTCCTTTTGCCCCGCCCCCCGGTCAAAGCCAATTGAAAATTGCGGCCGCGGCCCGACCTTCGGATGAAAGCGGCCGACGGGAGCTCTCTCACCTGATCGAAGAGGCTCATTCCCAGCACAGGTAACGCCGTGTACACCAGATTGTACAGCGTGATGAACAACTCGTCATACACCGTCTGGAAGGGGAAAGCCACCTCTCATTTCAACTTCCAAAAACAAAACCAAAGTTACAAGACCAAAAAAATAACAAGACAATCAAATAAAAAGGAAACAACAAATATAACGAAGCCACAGAGAAAAGCAAAACAAAACTGGAATTCATGGATTAAAAATGTTGAGACATTAGCAAGATTTGAAATGAAAAGTTCAAGCATGCGGTCAATTCAAAATCGTGCTCAATATAAAAAAAAGTATTTCAAAAAAATAACACTTATACTACAGTAAATCAACCACCCCCCCAATATTCTAAAATACAAATACGAAAAAAATTAAACATCCGTTTGAACAAAAAGTAAAAAAAGATGTGTCATAAAAACAAATGCAATTAAACATGCTGATGAAAAACTCCTGCTAAAACAGACGCAATAAAACCAAATTGGAAAAAAAAAACAACGACCAAGATTTGAAGGTCTATTCAAATGACAAATTTAAAAAGGTAATGAACAAACACATTCAATTAAAATCGATCTAAAACCCTGAATCAAAATGACACCAAAAATAAGATTAGAAGAGAAATGACACAGAAAAATTTCGAACTTAAGTTAAAAAAAAAAGATGATTCGAATGAATAATAATCACAATAGCAATCATCAAAACCATGTTCCAGGGATGAATGGGTGACAAGCTCCCAGAGTGAAAGGAGCCAGCATCCCGGTGGATTACGAGTGAAGCCGATCCGCTGCCCTCGAGTCTCACCTGTGCGGAGAAGCCGCAGAAGAAGGCGTACCAGAAGTGGACAAAGGTAAAGGTGAAGTTCTTGTAGAAGAAGTAGCGTAGAAACTTGCACATGCGCAGGTAGGACCAGCGGCCGTGCACCAGCAGGAGGCGCTGCAGGAAGCGGAACTGCGCGAAGGAGTAGTCGCTGGACAGAACGGCCTGCGTGCCCTCCTGGCCCGAGATGCCCACGCCGATGTGCGCCACTGCAGATGGGGGGGGTGGGGACAATACCGGCACCGAGTTACTCCCACTTTTGCCCAGCGCACGGCAAACGCGCTGCGCTCAACGCGGCCGTGTCAATTGAGAAGGGCGAACGCGGCGATCCAAATCCCGACCGTCGGCCCGTTGGCTCGGGCTCACCTCACCTTTGATCATGCTGACGTCGTTGGCGCCGTCGCCGATGGCCAGCGTGACGGCGCGCTTGTACGTCTTGACCAGCTGCACCACCTGCGCCTTCTGTAGCGGCGTCACGCGGCAGCAGATCACCGCCTTGCACATGCACGCCGTGCGCAGGAAGTCCTGCTCCATGCTGCGGTCCAACGCGTGTGCCTGCCACCAAAGCCCCCCCATTGTTGGTATTGAGCAAGAAACATGATGTTTGCTTCGGCGGGCCACAAAGAATGATGTGGCGGGCTGCACATCATTTGCTTCGGCGGGCCACAAAGAATGATGTGGCGGGCCAGGTCTGGCCCGCGGGCCTTGAGTTTGACACCCGTGCAAGAAGGAGTGAAGAGCTGATTTACAATATGAGCAACATGCCAATTAAAAAAACAAAAACAAAAAACAAGGCGCAAAAGGTCAAGGGGAGTACCAGACTGTGTCCATTGATGACGAGGCCAAAGTCGCCGTTCACCGCTTCATCCGCGATGGCCTGCGCACTTTTTCCCAGAATCCTCGCTGGCAAAAATGCACAATCCTCGGCGGCACCGGGTTTCATGGAACCGCGTGCGTTCCTGCCATATGTAAAAGAATATAACTTGTACAAAAAGAAATAAAATATAGTCGCAAAAAAAAAAAAAAAAACAAATCTGCCGAGACAGCCCAACGCT